TGATTCTGTGAGCAACTCAATCTGCCTGCCTGCTTTGCCTGATTTTGGGTAAAATTGTTCTTTTTTTAATAAAAAATTCAATATTTATATAAATATTTATAATATTTACCTACAAGCCATGCCCAGCCAGTCACATGACCACCAAGCCATACTCACAAATTAGGCCACACCCACAGAACCGGTTAGTGGTCCCCGGGATCTAAAATTATGAGTTTGGTGGTCCCTGAGGTCCAAAAGGTTGGTGACTCCTGGACCAGATGGTGAAGAATGGAAGGATTTATACTCCTTGGAGACAGCTGGTCATTTGCATTCTTTTAGCGAGTCATTAAGGCCACGTGGAGGTTAATTTTTTGACAATTTTCTAAAAGGGTACAAATGACCAGCTGTCTGCAAGGAGTATATATCCTTCCATTCCCCACCATCCAGTCAGAGCTGAAGAAGCTTCTTGGATGAGAAGTGAAACGTCTTCAAAGAAAAACAAGAAAGTCCAGTTGCCACTTGGAAGAAGAAAAAAGCACCTTTAGGACAAGCATGACCTGGATGACCTGAGAATCTCCACAATCGCCCTGTTTACTTCTGTGAATTCCAATAAATCAGTAGGCCTTGGCCTACATTTAACAAAGTATCCTTTTCTCTTGTCTTTGTCATAAATGCAGCATCTTTCCATCAGCTGACCAAGAAAACACTACTGCCCTTATCCCTGCGGCTCACAACACCGGGGGCTCACTGCCAGACCTGACAAATATCCACTTCCCCTCTCCTCTCCCAACACCGCTAGACCCAGAAGAGTCCACTTTTCCCTCCTTGAGCAGTTCCAACAGCACCGGGAACCTCACTGCCAATCTGACGCACATGGGGATCAGCACAGCCAATCAGGGTAAGGTGTTTGCAGGCACGTACAAATGCATTCTAGCACGACATCTTCTTGCAGTCTTGTCCATGTTATTTATTTTCAGCCAGGCAGGACTGTTTTCTTAGTGACGACTGGACTGAAAAAAAAGTGACTACAACGGGTCCCTCATACTTATAACCATTGCAGCAGCCTCACAAAATTTGGGCACATGGCAACCTGGCATGTATTTACACCAGCTGCAGAATCCTGGGATCAGGCAGTCCTCATTTGCAACTTTCCCAGCAGGTGTTTGACAAGCGCAATCAAGGAGGCAAGTAGGATTCACTTAACTGCAGTGATTCGCTTAACAACAGTGGCAAAAAGGTTGTAAAATCTGGCACAACACACTTAACCACCAGTTTGCATAGCAACAGAAATTCTGGTCCCAATTCTGATTGTAAGTTCAGGACTACCTGTGTTAGGGTTGGGGGCAGTTTGCTTTAGATTTTCTTTATCCCATCTTTTTTATTTTTATAAATAACTCAAAACACAAAGATACCTAATATTAAATACTTAGACCCACTCCCAGCCTGAAACCATCCAGATTTGTTTGACTGTGATGTCTTATTCAGCATGCTGCCTGATAATCATTGATATTTTAATGCACAGCAGATCTGGAGGGTACAAGTTTGGGGAAGAGTCATTTTATTGATTTATAAAATGTATATGCTGTTCATCTCACTAATCAAGTGTCTCTAGAGATGGGAGGAGGAGCAAAACTCAGGTCCTCCTTCCTTTGAAACAGTTGATTCAATTTGATCCCGATGACATTTTCAAAAGCTGTTTTTCAGCCTGTTTTGTGAGAAAAGATGTGATAGAAATATTAATAGTATTCTGACTCTGCCCCATAAGAACAGAGGTAGCTCTCGACTTTCAACAACAATTGAGCCCAAAATTTCTGTTGCTAAGCGGGACGTTTGTTAAGAGAATTTTGTTCCACTTATGAATTTTCTTGCCACAGTTGTTAAGTGAATCTGGCTTCCACACTGACGTTGCTTGTCAGAAGGTCACAAAAGGGGATCGCATGATCCCAGGACACTGCAACTGTCATAAGTATGAACTGGTTGCCAAGCACCTGAATTTTGATCAGATGACCAGGGGAGTGGTCATAAGCGTGAAAAACGATCATAAGTCACTTATTTAGTGCTGTTGTAACTTTGAATGGTCACTAAATGAACTATTGTAAATCGAAGACTACCTGTAGTTTTGAAAATCCTCCTGGCAAATCCCTCTGAAATCTGACTGCTCCTGCTAATTTTCTCTGTTGGAGACAGGAATGACAACAACGTCAGCCTCTTCCCAGCAACACCGGCAGCCAACCGTCAGTCCCCTCTCACTGAACACAGATTCAAGGAGAAGCCAATCCCAGCAAGTGTCTCCTACGCTTTCACCTCTTTCACCAATTACTCAGGTACAAGAGGGAATTCTACGGGGAGGGGGTGGGCGGGTAGGCTTGAACACTGTTGCATAATAACATCGTAGACCCAATCCGTAATGAACGATCCAAACTGGGAACCTTGGCCAGTATAGCAACTCTGATAATAATGTTGCTTGAATTTGTAATTTTCCTTTCAACTGTAGATTTGGTGGTTTTGGGAAGGATAAACCAGTTATAATGCCACATTGTCCCTTCGATTGAGGTTATTTAGCCACATCTAGGTGGCATGCCAAACCACGATGGGCAATCTGTTACCCTCCAAATTTTGGATTTCATCAACCATCATGAGATTTGCCTTCCCAAATGCCAACTTCTGGTTATCTTTGCACTGACCCATTTTAAATGTACTTGTGTGGAAATCAGACATTCTATTTGCAGACAGAAAGAAATCAATTGATTAGAAATCATTGTGTCCAATGCATTGACTTGTCAACTGAACTCAGCTCCAGTGATTGAGGCGAGATGGGCAGCAAGCAAATCAAATAATAAATTTGTTAGTCATACTTAGAGCTTAGTATGCTCTGTGAATTCCAGGATTGGCCTGTCAGTAATGGTTTGCAGCTCATATTGTGTTAGTCTAGCAAATAGTAGTTAATGCATAATTGGTAAACTCTTGATAGAAGAGAATATTTGTAGCTCAAGGTTAAACTGTGGGGTCCTTAGTGCTCTCAGAGCTTGGTTTTTTCTTGCAGGCATTTCATTACTCAAGTAGGTAACATCAGTGTACTGATGATGTTACCTAGTTGGGTAATGAAACGTATGCAAGAAAACAAACAACTTCCAAGAGCACCTAAGACCCCTTTAATAAACTATGGTTAAATAAACCATTGCACAATGTTGTGTGCGAGTCTAGGACAACTCAGCATGGCCCATTCACCGTGGCCAATTTGCTACAGGACAATTTGTTACAGCCAACTCATTGTGGGACATCTCACTGCGGGACAAGAGTTACACTAATGTCGAAGAAATGGTGGAATAGAATCATTAAAGAAAGGATGCAAAAGGAGGAACAAAAGGAAATGTGAATGACAGAAGATAAAATATTTTTAAAAATATTTTAAATTGAATTGTTGAATTATCCTGCAGCAAGTTGTCCCACAGCGAGTTGTTCCATGGTGAATTTGCCGCTGCAAGGTTGGGCATTGCGAGTTGGCCACAGCAAGTTGTCCCATTCCATTGCATGCACACTCATTCCATAAATAGGTCCATGGAGCCTGGGAAATGCTAAAAAGCCAGACTGTTAGAATAGGAACATTCCCGCTTCCCCAAAAGACTAGTAGAGTTGAGTGTGTTTCCTTCTGAAACCTTCACCCCAGGAAGTCTGATTCCACGGCACTGACGTCCTTTTCTGTCCTTTTCTTCTTAAGGCTGTGGCGTTGGATGCGCTCTCCATGGAACAGCAGCTTCCCCCCTACCCGTTCTTCACCCAGACAAGCGCGCAGCAGCAGCAGCAGCCACAGACCCAAGTGGCGAGTGCTCTACCACCCAACGCTTCTCTGATGCAGACCTCGGGCTTGCAGAGAGGCGTTCAGCTCCCCCCGCTCTCAGTCTCTATCCCTTCCACGATCCCACAGTCTCCTCCGGGCAGCCAAACCCAGACTTCGATGGGGATAGACATCAATTCGGTAAGCTTGATTGGGAAGAGGAGTTGGGACCTCCAGCTTCCTAGACATCTCAGACAAAAGCATAGGAAACAAGAAGAGGCTTGATCAGAGCTGTCTGTTTCCTGAAAAGTGTACGGTTTGGGATATGTTGAGACTGCAATTCAAAACTGCACAGAAATATGTGGTTTATTGCCAGTCCCCCCTCGTAGCCTTTGGAAAACATAGTCTTCCAAATATCATAGAGATATTAGAGATAGAGATATAGAGATATTATCATAGAGACTTCTGTGAAGGGACTGGATTAGAAATCTTATCAGAGATGAACGTGGTTCTCAAAAGCCTTGGATAGGGACTGAGCTTTTGAATGATTTTGAGATAAAGTTTCCACCTGGAGGGAAATCAATACCTCCCACAAGTTGAGCTTGATGACCACGCAGATATGTTCACATTAAGTTGATCTTGGCAACAACATAGAAATGGTTTGTCTGGGCCATTTTCCAGAATGTTTTTTTTTTTTCAGTCATCCATTGTATAGGCTCAGTTACAGTGAGCGCACTGTTGGAAATGCTGCAGGATCAGGTTAGAGATAGATCATCCTGGAGAAAATCTATCTATGTGGTTGCTAAGAGTTGACAACAGCTGGACTGCACGTAATTAATCAAGATAATTATGATGTAAACCTTGGTCCCCTGCCCAAGGAGGTCAACCAGGCGCTGCCATCTGCGAGGGAGGTCCGCTCCTTCACCCCAGTCCAACAACGATGGAGTGATTTGACATTTTCCCTGTTTTTTTAATGCTTCTCGGAGTAGAAAACGTATCCCGAAAATGACACCTCACCTGCAGTCTCACCTACAACTCCCCCAGCGGGGCTTCATGGAGGGCTATTTTATAAACGGCCACAATCTCACAAGATCAGGGCCGCGTTTTTTTCATTCATTTTTCATGCCAGGTGCCTGAAAATGTTTCCACCCCTTAACTTGTGACTGGTCATGGCGGTTCCCCCTAAAAAGCTCAAGCCAGGAATCCCCCCAGCCATAATCCTTTCCATGCCTCTCCTTTTGCTCGCAGGTAGTCTCCTAGCCTAGATTCAGAGAGAGAGAGAGAGAGAGAGAGAGAAGTGGGATCAGTGCCCCAGCCATAACAAAATTTTCCCTTGGGTTTGAATCGGTGGTGGTAGGCTACTGGTTTCAGCTGAATCGGTAGTTAAAAAAAAAAAAGCCTCATCAGCTGAGAGGGGAAAGAAGAGGAAAGCGCAGGATCAGCCCTCCCACCTGCCCCGTCCCTTTTCTCTTCTTTATCCTCTCAGCTGATTGGCGCTGCAGGCCCCAGCTGGTGCGGGGAAAGCTCTGGGTGCCCTTGCAATCACCAAACCGGTAGTGGAACAGGTAGGATCCCACTGCTGGTTTGAGTCATCTAAGTCAGGGGTATCCAACCTTGACAACTTTAAGACTTGTGGACTTCAACTCCCAGAATTCCTCAGCCAGCTTTGCTGGCTGGGGAATTCTGGGAGTTGAAGTCCAAACATCAAGTGTCCAAGTCTGAGTTACATTGATCTAGCTAACTAGGAGCTTCAGTGCCTATTAACACCAAGCAGATTGTTAACTCCAGCTGAACATAGAGAGTTGATAGATGTATTTGCTGTTTGTTTCCAACCCCAAAGAAGCTTTCTTTTAATCTGTCACATTAGCTATAATCATTTTTTTTAATTGGGATGGATGATTGCATCTCTCTTCCCCGTTTTCTGCAGACTTTCCCCTTCTTCTGCAAGGAGTTTGGAAATGTCCATTTTAGGTTAATTGTAGCTTCACAGCTAATCCTTGAACCACACTTAATGGTTTGAAATGAGCCCTCAAGCCATGGCTTATGGTAGAATTGTTTTTCCCAGGAAAAAACATGCTTTACATTAATCACATCTGTTCAGCTTGATTGTGTCCTAACCTGCAAAATCATTAAGATAAAAAAAATCATTAAGATAAAAAAAACCGTAGCTGGCTAGGGAATTCCAGGAGCTGAAGTCCACAAGTCTTAAAGTTGTAAAGACCAGACATCCCTGACTTAAAGTGTGATATTTAGACCCAACCGCTAGCCAAGGTACCAATGATTTCAGGGCTGTGTGTGTGACACAAAATGCCGTCTCCCTGTTTTCCTGCCTTCCATATTCTAACATTAGGCATGCCTGGTGGCTTTTTTTTTTTTTTTTTTTTAAAAAGAAAGATTGTATTACTGTGGCACTAAGTCATTCTTAATACTTTGCCACTTTGCACTGCTGTGTCTGTTCTGCATCTCACAGGGGGCGGGAGGTTGGTCCCATCCTTTGGAGAAGGAGACTGTTCACCTAATAAATCTTTGCAAATTCAAACAGAAGCATAAGAATGAATGTGAGTTCCGTAACCTTTTCCACAGGTTCCTCTGAAAAACAATTCGTGCAAATCGATGTGTTCCGCCTTATGGACCGCACAGATACGAAAGAAACACAAAAGTTGAAGTAGAGGAGGTTCCTCCCCTCCAAGCTGGGGTTTCAGAGTATTGTGGTTATATTCTCAGTCCCCACAAAGCTGGAAGAAGCATCTCAAAGCAGGCAACCAGAATCATCCTGGGTTGTAACAGAGTCCCCTTTTAGTCTGTGGAGATTCTCAGTCATCCAGGTTATAGTTGTCTCAAAGGTGCTTTTTCAAAAGGCAACTGGACTTTTTTTCCTTAAGGAAGAAGACGACTTTTTACTCCCCGTCCAAGAAATTTCATAGGTTCTGGAAGAATGGTGGAGGCAATGGGAGGATTGGGTCTGACAGGATTGGGAGGGAGAGGGTTGGAAGGTTCACATTTCTTTGCAGTCATCTGGTTGTTGGCACTCTCCCTGAGAGCTCTTGAGACCACCTGGGGCTTTTTTCTGTGCCCCGAGAGTCACCTGTATCAGAGTGCAAATGGGAGTGGAACTGCTGAAAGGTCTGCGTTGTAGGCCTTGGATTGTGTTGTAGTCTGCATTGTAAATGCTTCTAGGATGAGAAGCGAAAGTCTTCTCCTTCCTCAAGGAAAAAACAGTCCAGTTGCCTTTTGAGAGAAGCCCTTTTTAGGTTCATGACTTCTCCGGGCATTGTTGAACCGTACTGTGTGCTGCTGAATTCATCCAGGACTATTCTTGCCTTCTGTTCTCTTCTCATTTTCCTCCCCCCCCCTCCCCCCCCGCCCCTACCTGTCCATGAAAGAAACCTGTGTTTTCTCTCCCTCTCCTCCTGTTCCCCACAGTCTCTAACACTGTGTCCTTCTGTAGGGCTCACTCCAGCAGTACCGCAGCAATGCTGGCTCCCCAGCCAACCAGTCTCCCACTTCTCCTGTCTCCAATCAAGCTTTTTCTCCTGGCAGCTCCCCTCAAGTAAGGGACTGTATGCTTCTAAGGCCTTTGGATTCCATGCTTCTCATTTATTTTCTTGCCTCTTCTTAACTTTGTTCCCCCCCCATCCAGCTTTTTGAAGGGTTTCCAAAATAACGCTCCGTCAAGTTGGGTGGGTTGCGTTTAAATGACTGGGATCCTTTTGGGGAAATTCCTTCTTGCTAAAATCTGATGCCACCTGACCTGACCTGTTCCTCCCATATTAATGTCTGCCTTATCGTGTTAATTACCTTTTGAATGCTGCCCTTCTCTGAAAGGTTAGGATACCATTCTTGGCTCAAAAAGCATGCCAAAATATATCGCTGTTCAGAATTAAACTATGTTTTTAATGCACTTTATTTATTTCTTTTCTATTTTCTTTTTGATTGCCCAACTCTGGTGAACTCTGGGCGGCATACAAAATACATTGACAGATGTGTATTGGAGGGGGGATATAAGTATGGGTCGGTGTGATTTTTGTGCTTTTGGGATCTTTAAAACGTTTACCGAACAAACATGTAGCAGAACTGTGCCACTGTATATAAGCCAAGTCTTCTTGTTGAAGTTTGTCTATTTTCTCTAGTACTTTTATGTGATTGAATATTTTGTTTCTTGTATGAACCCCAAAGTACAATACCAATAGCTTTTTGGATAGCTTTTTTAAAAAAGAATATGTTTGTAGAAGAAATTAGAGCAGTGTTTCTCAATATAAACAGCTTGAAGTGTGGATTTCAACTCCCAGAATTCCCCAGCCAGCCATGCTGGCTGGGGAATTCTGGGAGTTAAAGTCCATACATCTTAAATCAGCCAACCTTGATAGAATGTAAGTTAGAATACCAATAGCCATTAGCACGGTAGAGGGGATAAGTCCCCATATTTAGAGTTGGTCTAGTTTTAAATATACCAGGGAGCATGTAAATATCTGGAACAATAGAGATTTATTGAAAGCTATAATGAAAGCTATAAGAAAACAAGATATACTTGATATCAGATTATGGGGACAGGACTGGAAGAGATCTCTGGTCTTTATTCCTGGTTTATGGGCTTCTTGATTGATCCTGTATAGAAACATCAGTCCCGATGGTTTTTTGATGGAAAAAAGAAATTGACTGAAGATAATACATTTAAGAAATAAAAGTTACAAGGTTCGTAACTTAGAAAACAAAAATGCAGTTGTATGGGATGGGAATATAGATAGTCCTCGATTTACAACCACAATTAAGACCAGAATCTCCTTGTTAAGCAAGGTGGTTGTTAAGATTATAAATAATGATCCCAGGATGTTGCACCCATTGTAAATACATGCTAGACACCAAGTAACCGAATTTTAATCATGTGATTATAGGGATGCTGAATCAATGGGACTTCTAAATGGGACTTTAGAAACAGTCCTCGAATTGTAAATTTGAGGACTGTTTCTAAAGTCCCATTTTTCAGTGCCGTTGTAACTTTGAATGGTCACTTAATTAATGGTTCACAGTTGAAGACTACCTGTTGTATTTATGAGAATTATTCTGAAACAATAGTGAGTCCCAAGCCAAATACGAGCGAGCAATAGAACGTGGATGAAAATAAGACAAATGTTCCATGGAAGCGTATTTTCCAAATCATTGGAAGGAATCATTCTGTTCATTCTGTTCTGACCCAGTTCAGAGAAGAGTAATTAGAATGATTGGGTAACTAGAAATTAAGGTTCAAATTAAATGCTGCACAGAAAAGGTTGCTTGTTCTCATTGCAGAGTGTAAGATTCAGAATAATGAATTTAAGTTACAGGAAGGTTCTTCTTTATTTATTATCCCCTCCTTCAAAATATTTTTTTTAATAAACAACTCTAACAGGGCGAACCTATTTAATATCCCTTCCACCTCCTATTTTCCCCACAACAACTGAATGTAAAGTTACCAGAGAAATTCCTCATAATAAGAACAGCTTAATAATGGGACAAATTACACAAGAGACTGAGTGGCTGCTTTTTATTGTCTATATTATTCAGAGGGTTGGACTCAATAACCTAATTAATCCCTTCCAACTCTATGATTTTCTTTTTGCCCACTTGGGATTTTATCGATACCCATGACAGCTCATGTGGCACAGTTAAAAAAAAAATGGCCCACTCAACTACATACACACACACATCTCTCCCTCCCCATCTCTTTCCCCCTCCCCCCGCCCCCAGTTCATTTAGAGACCACTCAAAGGTACAACACTACTGAATACAGTGACTTGCAAACATTTTTCACAGTTCACATCCTTTGTAGCATCCCGATGGTCACGTGATCAAAATCCAGACCCTTGGCAACTGCTTCATATTTATGACCGTTGTTGTGTCCTGTTGAGTCACGTGACCACCTTCCGTAATTGTCTGACAAGCAGACTCAATGGGGGAAGCCAGATTCACTTAACAGCCATGGTAGTAACTTAACAACTTCCGTGGCAAGAAATGTCATAAAACGGGGCAAAACTTGCTTAACCAACGCCTCACTTAACAACAGAAATTTGGGGCTCAGTTGTGGTTTTAAGTCGAGAACCAGCTCTGTGTGTGTGTGTGTGTGTGTGTGTGTGTAGAGAGAGAATGAGAATGAATGGGTGTGCGAGAGAGCTAGGCTGCATCCAGACTCTTTTGGAGATGTGATTGTAAGAGAAAGGTTCTGCTTGAGCAGACAGAGGTCTCCAAACTTGGCAACTTTAAGACTTGTGGACTTCAACTCCCAGAATTCTCCTAGAATTCTGGGAGTTGAAGTCCACAAGTCTTAAAAGTTGCCAAGTTTGGGGACCCCTGTGCTTGAGGTTTGCAGCAGAGTCTCTGAAGCAGGAGATCAAAGTTGGATGACTCTGTTTTGACTGCCTTCGCTGTGCTGGTGGTGTCAAAGCATAGAGTCCCTTTACAGTTGCATAGGCCCCGTGGTCCTAGACTTGATGGAAGGACTGCGCTGCGTGCCAAGTCAGTTTCATTCTCTTTCCCTGACAAAGCAGTGGTGCGCCTCTTGGTTTTCTTACACTGGGTGTTCAGCCAGTTTGCATTAACTGGGAAAGAGGAAAATTGTTGACGGAGCAAACCCTTCTCTAGTTTGCCCAACGTTCTCTTTGCAAAGGCAGCGAAGGGACTAATCTTGGATCCTGAAGTGCTGAACCAGTGAAAAACTTCCCCGGTTTTAATATCTTTGGAGCAGCTTTTGCTGCTGGTAGTTATTAAAGCTGCACTGATGATTCCATGGGGGCAAATTTATATAAATCCTACATCTATTCTTGCTGATCTACTGAGCCAGTTGAAAGCATTTATAACACGGTTTTGCATCATTGCTCAGTCATAAAAAAACGGAATGTTTTCAATAGCTGGGAGGGAAGCAGGACCCTGAGTGGTGAAATTATAATCTAGCGGATTCTAAAAATATTCTCTTTTCCCAACACGGTGGAGTAGCTGGGTGTTCTTTTCAGAAGAAGGATAGCAGTCTAGAAATCTTGGTGATTGATTTCCAGGGTTCTGTTAACTCAATTTGTATATTCCTGAGATTGCGCAACAGGCCCGGGTAAAGGTGCAGCTGTCAGCGTTCCAGCAAACCTCCATTCCAACCAGTAACTCCGAGACAGGCATCTTCTCAAACGTTCCTTTTTATTTTGGATAGTAACTGGCACAACTGTGGAATCCCGAATTTGAAAGTTCCGGGCTTCCTTGCAATAAGTAAAAACTACAAAATCCATCCCCTACACCTCTCACCACATCATATGGCCCAATCGCCATCTGTCCCAAAGTAAGGCTTCCTTTCACTATGCGCAACACGACCTGACCTTGAATCAGAAAAAGAGTTTTATTATGTCTCACTAGATATACTCCAATGAATTCCCCCCCCCCTTTCCCAGGCTCAATTGTGGCAGCGTGGGAGCATCGGATCTCAATATGGCATCCGAAGCTTGACAGCAGCTTCTTTAAGTAGATCCTGAGAGGCCTAATGCGCAAGTTTGCTCTGCTAGATCTGGATTCAAAACTCTGCACCTCCCTTTTGCTCAAAGAAGCGACCTTTCCACGCAAAAGGGGGGAGGGGTCGTGTGATCCCCGGACGCTGAATTTTGATCCCATGACCATGGAGATGCTGCAGCGGTTGTGTGAAAAATGGTGTCACAAGTCCCTTTTTGGGGGGTGCCGTTGTAGCTTTGAACAGCCACTAAATGAATTGTTGCAAGTCGAAGACTACCCGTAGCTATTTCTGAAACTATATCCAGCGTTGGGGGTGCGGATTCCAGCATCTGTGACGTGGAATATTGAAGGCTTATCAGGTTTTTGTCAACTGGAACAGCAAATATACAGAACGTCCTCAACTTACAATGACTATTAGGTCCAGAGTTTCTGTTGCTAAGTAAGGCATGTATTAAGTGCTCTTTTAATGGCCCTTTCTGCTATTGTTGTTAAGCACATCAGTGTAGCCTCTCTCTATTAACTTTGCTTGTCAGAAGCTGGCTGGAGAGGTTACAAATGACCCCCAAGTGCTGCAACCATCCTAAACACATGCAGGTTGGCAAACACCTGGATTTTGATCACGTGACCGCAAGGATGCCATAGCGGTTTTAAATGTGAGAACTGGTTGTCTAAGTCACTTTCTTGCAGTGCTGTTGTAACTTCAAACAGTTGCTAAAAGAATGGTTATAACTCGAGGATTCTCTGTATTAGCATCAAAAAAACAAAACAAGTGCATTCTTTTGTGAGCTCCAGAATTCAGTGTCCCCATCATGTCATTAAGGAGTGGCAGCTTCACTGTTGAAGTGCTGGTCTCTCCTGGCAGGGTCTGCATTTGGCTCCAGGGGGCCTTGCTAGGCAGTGCAGGCGATGATAATTGCAATTCTAGCAACTTTTACCTTTACGCTTTGGATCCTTTTGAATATTACAGCGCTGTGAACTGGCTGAGGTTGTCTAGTGTACAGTTGTGACACCCAGGCTTTTGAGGCGACACTTTGCTTTCTTTGAGGCTACAGAATCAGAATAGAGCTGGAAGGGACCTTGGAGGTCTTC